TACCTACTCTTGTTTAACCAATGGCAGCACAGAGCAACTACTAGGCTCGAATTGAAAAACCCTGCAACAAGTGGCAAATGTGCTATACTCAGCCATGTGACTAGCTCAGACGTGTTCATTGCATGGCAGTTAAGTCGGCACTTGTATTTATTCTATATGTGAAATTTAACAAAATTAAGTGCAAAACCAAATTTAACAGGGTGGTTTTTTTCCATCCACTTGAGAACACGGTTTGACCATGGGTAGCTGCCCAGATTCGAGCCCAGAATCGTAGTGGCTTCCCAAGGCCAGAAGAAGAGTCATAGATTAATTAAATTAAAAGTACATGTATGTCAAACAAAGCATGTTAAAGGTAATCATTGATTTATATATCTTCCAGTGAATACACTGTGTAACAATTTGTTTTGTTCCTGGGTAGTAAGTGTTAATTCCTAATTGCTTAAGCCTCAAAAGTAGAGAGAATGGCTATTATTCCACACAAACTTTGCTTTTGTGACCAGGACAGTGATATTTAGAAATTTACCTATTTTCCAGAACATTCCTGATAGATTCAGTGCTGAGTAAACTTAGAGTAACTTTTAGAACATTATAGAACTTTCCAGTAATATAAATAGTAGAATAAATACAGGGGGCTTAAGCCCACCAGTTCAGTTTAGTTCTAGCTGCCTAAGTGCATACATATCTGCATTTTTCTGAGATGGCATCAAGAGGCTGCAAGCATCCCGAAGATGCATTTTACTATGTCTGCGGCCAATTTATCAAAACAAGAGCGAAAAAGTGCTCTGTGGAAGCATCTGCTAAGATGTGTGAGGCCGACAAGGCATATTTCGGCATGCATGTCGGGGATCAAGACAAACCCTGGGCACCTCATTTCACCTGTGAGCAATGCAAAAAAAAAACTCTGGAAGGTAAGATGCTCAGAATTTTATGTTATAAAATTTGTTACAATTTTTTTAATTGTAAAAGTTTAACATTAAAAAATGTTTTACAATTTTCAATGTTATTGAAAAAAAAAATCATATATGAAAAATGTTGCGAGAATCTCTTACACATTAGTAATGGGTGAAATAAATGTATTTTTGTAGGATGATACAGAGGGGAAAAGAGATCCATGAAGTTTGCTATCCCAAAAATTTGGCGGGAACCCACTAACCACTCAAGCATCTGCTATGTCTGCATGATGGACCCTTCCAAACGTCAAACTGGCAAGAATGCACCTGCTATCACGTAACCGGACCTTCCTTCATCCATTGCCCCGGTGCCACACTGCTATGAGCTCCACATATCCACTCCTCTGGAGAGAGAGCAGCCGTCTTTAGAAGAAAACAGCAAGGCAGAAAGCGAGGAAGATGTTGTAGATCCAGATGACAATTTCAGAGGTAGAGCTGAGGAGAGAAACCCATACTACCCGAACCAAAAAGACATCAACGACTTGATCAGAGATATTGGTCTCACCAAGTCCAATGCCGAGTTTTTGACGTCTAGGCTCAAGCAATGGAACTTGTTAGATGAAAGTGTGCAAGTCGCAGATCAGAGGAAGCATCACCAACCTTTTTGCAGCTTCTTCACCCGTCAAAATGGGCTCTGCTTCTGCCACAATGTGACCAGTCTGTTCGAGGCAATCGGAATCGCTTGTAACCAGAATGAGTGGCGCCTCTTCATTGACAGCTCATCCAGGAGCCTCAAAGCCGTGCTGCTCCATAATGGTAACAAGTACCCGTCTCTTCCCCTGGCTCACTCGGTACACCTCAAAGAGGATTCCAACAGCATCAAGACCTTGCTGGATGCCTTGAAGTATGATGAGTACGACTGGGAGGTCATCGGATTCTTCAAAATGGTGGCATTCCTGATGGGTCTCCAAGGCGGTTTTACCAAGTTTCCCTGCTGTCTTTGCCTTTGGGACAGCAGGGACACCAAGGCGCACTACCACAGGCAGGAATGGCCACAGCGGACCGAGTTCTCTGTGGCGTGGAACAACGTCAAGTAGGAGCCACTGGTGGACCCCCGGAATGTGCTGATGCCACCACTGCACATCAAATTGGGCCTTATGAAACAATTTGTCAGAGCTGTAGATAAGGAGTCGGCAGCCTTCAAGTAACTTTCAAAACTTCTTCCCTAAGCTGTCTAAGGCAAAGGTCAGAGCCGGTGTCTTCGTCGGACCACAGATAACGAAGATCCTGGAGTGCAACTAATTATCCAAGAAGCTCACTAGTAAGGAGAAAGCGGCTTGGAACAGCTTTGTCGCAGTGGTTCGTGGCTTCCTGGGCAATCACAAGGTCGAAAACTACGTGGAGCTGGTTGAGACTCTGGTGAAGAACTACGGCACAATTGGCTCTAGGATGTCCTTCAAAGTCCATATCCTTGATGCTCATCTTGATAAATTCAAGGATAACATGGGAGTGTACTCGGATGAGCAAGGCGAGCGCTTCCACCAGGATATACTGGACTTTGAACGCCGCTACCAACGACAGTATAACGAGAACATGATGGGAGACTTCATTTGGGGGCTGATTCGTGAAAGTTTTTTTACAGTATAATCGTAAATCTCTAAAAACTACTCACTTCTAAATCTGGTGTAGTCATTTTCGTATTACTTTAGTATAAATACATTTTAATTTTGATTCATATGTTTTTTTCTGACTTTATGTGAACGAAAAAACACAAATTCTCCTGTTTTCTCATTGAAAATAGGTAAATTTCTAAATATCATTGTCCTGGTCACAAAAGCAAAGTTTGTGGGGAATAATAGCCATTGTCTATACTTTTTAGGCATAAGCAATTACGAAATAACACTTCCCCCGTGCCTGAAATCGGCCCTGCATGTGGCACCGGGTGATGTGGCTAAGAGGCCATAGCATGAAGATATTGCCCCATGTAATTGATCTAAAAATCCAAGAGAAAATCTGAAACTTGTCCTTTAAAAAACAAGCTAAACTCATCCCTAAATCATACACTACCTTTGTGTTTATAGAATCGTACAAAATGCAATATACTCATTAAGCTAGAGGCCCTTGGAAAATAAAATAATGGAAAACGGAGAGGAGTTCCATATACAAACTGGCCACGCATGACAAGGAGGCGTTGCTGCGTACTGCCATGCAGCGCATTTTCCCCCTCTTGCTGTTAGCGAAGTTGAACTTTTCCTTCATTTTGTGCATTGGTATTTTGCTGACACTCATGGAATATTCGCGTCCAGGTTTTTGTTATTTGATATAAGGTGCGTTTGCTTGTTTTTTTCCTTTGCTACTTTATTACTGTTTACACTCAGCTTTCAAAAAAGCATTCAGCCTCCCATAGCATATTTCCACCACTGTATATAAATAGCAACGTATACACGTGCTAAATAATGTCTTGAATGTTTTCATACGAATGTGTTCGGCTCGGAAAATTAAAATGCAAAGATGTCAATTGTAATAAAATATATGCCAAACACATTTGTTAACGTTCATATGATTGAACGTTCTCTCGTTAAGCATGCAATATAATGAATGCAAATTGTTACATTCAAATATTAGCGTACCACAAGAATATGAAATTAAAAATAATCGAATATTACACATGCATAATAACAAATTATATTTGTGTTGTATTCCACGTTCTCCTTGTGCTCACAGTGACAAACATGACAGTGTGACTGTCTCAGCGGTCGGGTGTTTTGTTATACGTTCGTGATGAGTTTATTTGACTGAAGGGGGTCTGGGTGGTCCAGAGCCAAGTGTTCTTGCCTTCATACTCTTGGTGTAATGTCCCCTCTGTATGTCCCCTTGTGATAGATTATGTGAACATTATCAGATTTATTCTTTGGTTTTTTTCGGTAAAGTCACATATAAAGATAAAATAATAAATTAAATTAAATAATAGCATACGACGTTTCGATTGCAACAAGCAATCATCATCAGGTATAATGAAATAGCGACATAGAATCTAACCAGAAAACTATAGACAGACATATAAGCAGACAGATATCACCAAGATACATAGAGAGAGCAACACAGGTAACAGAGAGAGGTGATCGTCTCTGTGGGGTGGCCTTAAATAGACAGAGGGGGGCGGAGGCAGAGAGAGGGAGGGGGTAGGGAAAAAATTTACATGTCAATAAGTACGAAGGGAGGCGTAGTAAAGTAAGCAGGCTCAAAAATTATGATTATCAGATTTGCCTCAATGCCTCCGAGAGAGGGCATTCGTAGCTCTGTATCAACTTCTTTCACAATTTGGGGCTCCATAATTTATTCACGTGATGCAACTTACCAGTTACGAATAGCTAATTTGTTCATTTATTTATGTATATATGGAATGAACAATTAATTGCATGGAATATATTCTAAAGTAAGTTCTGGTGAATGTTTTGGCTAACGATCGAACAAAGACCGTTACAGCATTGCACACTTTCAGATGCTCTTCTGCGGCCATCTGGAATGGCCTTCCTTCCGATATTAGGAAGCCACTGGAGCTATGCACTTTTAAATTTAAATTGAAAACAAATTTTTTTAGAACTGCTTTTTGTGTTGAATTTGTTGTCCTTCCCCAGCACCTCCGATTAACACGGTTGGCTACTCACGGTGCAAAAGAAATTAAACATACAAAAGCACGTTTTTGTGGATACATTTGTCAGATGTATGTAAAGGTAGCAGCCCCTTCCCTAGGATGATTGGTTCAGAGATATTTTTGAGATACAATTTTCGCCCACTAAAAAGGTGGCTGAGAATTGTGCAACAACAACGTCCTCATGGTGCACGTGATAACAGGATACAAACCATTTCTTTATAACCCTTGAGCTACTCCCAATTCAAACCTTTTAAAACAATGGTCTGCCTCAGCAGCAGATCACGCTTTCCCACCTGATGATGGGCGCTTGTGTTGCGCCCGAATCGTCGTGATTTATTTTATTTTATACCTACGTGACTTTATTGAAAGAACCAAAGAGTATAGGATACAAGTGACTTGAGTCATCATTTTGTGTCCGTCACACCAAAGTAATCAGACCAAACAGCGCTTATGATGTTGGTGTCGATGCTATTGGAGGAATTGCAGGTTACGAGATAGCTGGCCGGACCCGCGACGAGCACGCTTCCTCCACGGGTCCCAGTCACTCTGGTGATGCATTTACACACAATGCAGCGTTTGCATTGCAACACAGTGCTGCCATGCTGTATGGAACTAGGTGGCGCTAATGCATACCAATGTTGCATTGGCGAACATTTTTTCGATGTCAAAGGCAAATTTCGGCAGACAAGAGGAAACTAACTACATGTTTTGTTTCAGTGAATTAAATAACAAGCAAAACAGTGCAAAAGTATTAATGGTTTTCATATTTAAGCTCTACATTCTTAAGTAATGGGTGTCCAGCTTGATGAATTATAGATCTATTTTAATAATTGAAATTATTTGTGTAACCATGTGAGAGCCCACTGCAGATTTGTTGTAATTGATACACATCATAAAATATTGTCGTGTAACATGTTAAAGGAACAACACTATCAGAATTTAGAAAAATATTTCAATTTTAAATGTAATGGGATCAATTGCTGCAGATTGGTTTGTGTACTGCGTTATGAACCTGGCGACCTCAAGTTGATAAGCCACAGCTAAAATCAGCAGTGAGTGATTTCTTAAATGGCCCTAGGTCCCTTTAAAAACATGTGCTGGCCAGCGTGGAGAAGTATGGTCAAAACCCCACCCAACTCACATTATGTGGAAAGGCCTTCATCCAGCAATGGATTGACAAAGATCTGGCAATATTTATTTATTATCATTTGATTGCAAATAATTTAGCTCCGAGACTGCCAATGTAGTAAACGCTTGGTTGAATGTCAGTTTATTATTACTGTTTATTATTATATGGATGTGATTTTCACCTCTCAAATAATAGTTAATTTTGCAATCAGCATACACGTGATACCATGAAAGCATTTTCACTTATTCTATGTATTCATTGTTTTCAAAATACAGATTGTAATTTTTTAAGTTCCTATTTTGTTTCACACATCAAACATGGTATTGAACAATGTGTCTACTCAATCCTTTCATCAAGAATGCTTCAAGTCCCCAATATAGTGCATCAATCTAACTTGGCATGGTGCAAAATATCACGAAAGAACAAATACATTCAAAATGCCTTATTGATTTCAACATATTTACAAAATATACATCATTAAAGTAGGAGTTGCTTATCTCATGTGCACGGTTCTGAAATATCCAACAGTAAACTTATGATAAATTATGTATAATATTGACTACATGAGATCAGCTATTTTGACAAGCGTTATATCAGCACACTTAAGCTATAGAAGATGTCCATGAAGAAGTAAACCATCGCCAGCTGTGTTAAAACGTCCCTTAGTGAACTTAGTCACGTGATCATTCTTACTCATTTTTTCCCCTTCGCTGACAACATTGTTACTGCTAAACCTTTAAAAAGAATTTACATTTTTTTTCCACAGGCAACATTTATTAGCTTCCAAAAACGAGATGTTCTGTCCGTTTCAATTGCGAGCTGTCCCATACCCACTCAAAAAACGAACACATTAAAATGTCTCATTAGTGACCATTTATCAATTCGGTAGAGGGAGAAAAAATCCCAAAGGGATGTTTTTTTTCACAGTATGAAAGATGAGAATGCAGCATATTCCTGATTCGCTACGCTTTGCAATCACAAGACTTGAGACAGACACTTAAAAAAAAGCAGAAAATGCAATATCATGGTGTGTTTTTCACATTAGGCACCAGCTTGGTAAATTATATTGTTTTGTGTGTTGCAAAAATTTATTCATGTAGACCCATCCCAATGACGATGCCGTTGTGGTCAAAATTATACGTATAGGATAGGGTTGTTGCTGTGGTAAAATGGTGAGCACACTGGACTTGCAATTCAGAGGTTGCCGATTAATTCCCCTGGCACAGCAGTAAAAGCAATGGGCATGTCTCTTAAATCCCCCTGCCTCTTTCCACCCACCATTATAAAGTCGGTACATCACAGTTGATCAGCAGATTGCATGTGGTGGGGTAAAGTGGAGGTACTAGCACCTCTTTCAAGGCCTCTTTCCAAGCTAAAAGAGGAGGTCAAAAGAGTGACTAAACTGGGTTCTCAAGTTTATGATCTTAGCCTGGTCAACAATGACTACGAAAAAAACCCCCATCATATTAAGGGGCAATCCAGAGCTCCCTTTATTGGAGGCCCGTCTGACAGCAGTGGCATAAGTAAAAAATTACAGGACTGCATCTGTACCTTATACCATATAAACGATAGTGACCGCTTCTTGTGGGCAATGTATATTATGGATAATATTGCATGGATTTTGCTGGTGACTTTATTGAGAACAGGTGAGCCATTACAGTAAATGTCGTAAGCCACCCAAACCATGTGGCATTCGTAGTGTGAAGGGGACTGAGCCTCATGACTTCATGCCAGAGGCCAAATCCTGTTTACTGGTTAATATCAGCTCAGCTGGAAATGCTGTTACAGCGGAGGGTGATGTTGTCACAATCACGACATTTGCCATGATGCTCACACGTTTGATCCTGTACTACGTCATTGTATCCATAGCAACGGAACATTAACGTCAGAAAATCTTTTGACATTTAGTTTTACTCAGAGAATGTTTGTATTTTGTGCTGTAAATCAACAATAAACTGTCACGCATTAATACAAAATAACTCATTTGCAGGTTCATGTATTGAAAGCAATTTATTTTATTTTCACTACTTTACGTGAAAATGTCTTACGCACATTGTGAAACAATGATTGTGTTCATTATCATGTCATGGGTGTACAGAAAACCCACACAACATCAGGCCCTTTCATTTTAGCAAGTGTCAGATGATAGCTGAGAAATTATTGTTTTAAGCAGCTGGTAAAATAGGCTGCCTATAATTATTTCCATATGATGCCCAAGAATTAAGTTACTGCTTCCATTTCATTTGAAAACTAGTAGATGGAATATATAAATTTTAGATTAAGAATAAGCAAGCAACGCAACACAGAATTAGAATCACATTGTATGTAACTGCTAAGGTTCTTGGTTCTAATTCAGGCAACCAAAAGTGATTCAACTGGGTTCTCAAGTGAAGTGGTCTCAGCCTCGTCACTGAAACATCCTTATCATATTAATTTTGTTTTTCTACTTTGGGTGATCAAGGTGCAGCCCTGCAATTGATTGCTCGTGCCACAGCTTGCAGAAAGGCCTTCACAACCTTCACAAGAGATCCCTCTAGAGTGTATATTTGGCCCTGCCAGGCTGGCAAGATGTCTTGAAAGAAGTGGTCGTACCCACATTTTATCCCACCGCACGGGACTCCGCTTCACTAGCTGTGGTGTCCCCATTTGCATTACTTGTTTGCACTTAATTTAGGAGGAATTAAGCTCTGAGAATACAACAACATATAAATGTATATCAGGAAAACTGGTGCGGCAATCTCTGTCAATGTCTCTTCACAGAGATTTCCGAATGGATTCTTCATCACATGGCGTGACGCTGACAGCGTGATTGCAATACTTTGGGAGAGCAAAAGGCAAAGAAATCTACTCGAACAAAGGTAGCGAGTGAATATTGATTTTGGAATGTTTTCGCAATCCCTGTTGTAGTTGCTTTGGTGTAGCCGTTGAGTGTCATTAACAACATCTTAATTTGATCATATATAAGGAGTGTATCACAAGCATGAAGGTGGAGTGGTCACGAGAAAACATCTTAGAGGTTGTTGGTCTGCAACATCTGCTTCCGTGGATCAGTCCCCAACACTGCTCTGCACTGAGTGTGAGATCCGATAGGATGCTTTGTCTTGTGACATGACGATGATAGCACGATCAGGATAGCATTTGGGAGGAGGGGGGTGGGGGAGCAACAATTTTAATATGACAATAAAAGCAAACAATACAATTCTACATTTGAAGCTTTCGTGACTGCAAGGATTCATACTCTTAGTTATTTCGGTAAAGTCACGTAGGTAAAAAATGAAATTAAAATAAAAAAAAAATCACGACTTTTCGGAGGCAACACAAGTCTCCGTCATCAGGTGGGACCGTCACAGCCAGATTTGCTGTATCAAGTGATATCAAGCGAAACAGTAAATCTGGCTGTGACGGTCCCACCTGATGACGGAGACTTGTGTTGCCTCCGAAACGTCGTGATTTTTTTAAATTAATTTTTATTTCATTTTTACCTACGTGACTTTACCGAAAGAACTAAGACTATAAACAATACAAATTAAGCAGCAAAACCTATTTATATATTTTTTCATTAATATTCGTGCCCATGACAACAAGAGCTGCCCCTTCGGCTGACACAATGCCACTGCCTATGGTGGTAAATGGAGAAACCCCGGGGTGAGTCATCAATTTCAATAAAATGCAAGGGACAATTAGCTGCGAGAAAGAGGCGGCAGTAGGAACATTAAACCCTTGAGCCTTACCCTGTTGACCCGATCGCCGGCCTGGCCTGGACATGCACTGCATGTCACGAGCTTAATGTGGAAAAAGGCCGCTAATTATTTTGTTTTACGATAGCCCCACCATGGTGATCAAGAAAACATACCAACAATGGCCTGGAAGCCAACAACACGCACGCTTGAGGAGTATACAGAAAAAGAAGAAAAACAGCTACTTCAGTTTCTGTCACTATGTACGGAACAGCGTGTCGCATGATGCATGCTATGCATGCCTATGAGTGCCTTATAATTTAGAAGGATGTCCATTGAGGTCATTTCAATGTCAATTTTTGTTTATGGTGTTTAAAACAAAATACTCGTGAAATACTTCACAAGTGTGCACTGTTGTGTGCCGTGGGATTTCAATGTTGCAATGTTGCAATAATTTAAGAAGATTTGTGTTTGTTTTTTGTATTGCTATGGTAAATAACTTCTTAAACATGTGTGGAGCGAAGTGTAGGAAACATGTTTTCCTCGTAAGGATATTTTCGTGAGATATAATTTAATTATACATCCTGAAAGTCCTTATTTATATTACTAAACATCTGATAACATATTTATAGTAAGATCTAATGTTTACTCTTGCTTGATATTTAGTATTATCTCATTAATATTCATGGTTAACTCTGTTCCCTTGCATTGCCTCAAGGAACAAGTCTGCTTATCTTTCACAATTTCTGTTTCTGCTTTTAGATTTTTCTTGATTAAGATGCTTACACAGTGCACCTAAAAAGATAACTGCTTGATTTATTAAAACCTATCACAATACCGTTTACCATAATCCTAAAAAACAAAACTGAATACATCTTGATCAACTGAAGATGTTTGCATTCGTATTTATTACATTAGCATAAGCACTATCATCAGCCATGCTCTATCCACTGCTTCACGAGTCGTCATCATCCTTCGTAGTCTCATGATGCAATAATCCATCAAGCTCCTGCACACAATCTGATTGATGGCTCCGTCTCCACGGTGGAGGTATTCTCAGGTGTGTTCTCGCCGGGAGCTGCCGTTCCTGCCCAAGCAGACTTACTTATCAAATAGTTAAATAAACTTTAAAACGAAACTATTTTTTATTTTACCAGGAAGAGCCCACTGAGCTACACAGCTCTTTTTCAGAAGCTACCTGACCACAAATGATTGCACATCGAAGTGACTTATCACGTGGAAATGAATATCAGCCAAATACTCTAAACGCATGTTTCTAAATGTGAAGGGAAAGAACTGGAGGACCCACAGAAAAATCCACACGACCACAGGGAGAACATGCAAACACAAAATATACAGGCGTCAGGGTCAGGATCGAACCCACGAACTCGTGTTACCAGGCGAGGTAGTTAACATCTCACCACCAATTTGTCACCAATTTGTGTCTGTCCTCTGGTCCAAGTGTTCTTCCTTCTGTATTCCGCAGAGCGATAACAAGCATTGTGTACTTTCCAGTACGTAAACTACATTCAACATACATACATAATGGGAATGTTAATTAGCATGAGCATATACATGCATTATCTTGCCATTGCATTTAAATTCACAGTTTCTAATTACATTTCTATGTTTTCACAGTTTCATATGTATTTCTTAATATTAATTTCCAGCTGATTGTAAAAAAAAAAATTGCTGGATGAAGGCCTCCTTATGCCATCCCAGTCCTTGGGGGTTGGGGGAGGGGGGGTTGGCCATACTTCACCATGCTGGTCAGTGTGGCTTGGTGAAGGGGTGACCCAGGTTATTCTTTGGTTCTTTCGGTAAAGTCACGTATAAAGAAAAAATAATAAATTAAATAATAGCATACGACGTTTCGATTGCAACACAAGCAATCATCATCAGGTATAATGAAATAGCGACATAAAATCTAACCAGAAAAAATTATAGACAGACATATAAGCAGACAGATATCACCTAGATACACAGAGCGGGCAACACAGGTACAGAGAGGGGTGATCGTCTCTGTGGGGTGGCCTTAAATAGATTTTATGTCGCTATTTCATTATACCTGATGATGATTGCTTGTGTTGCAATCGAAACGTCGTATGCTATTATTTAATTTATTATTTTTTCTTTATACGTGACTTTACCGAAAGAACCAAAGAATAATTCCTGCAGTCACGTAAGCTCCAAAGTTAAGAGTGACCCAGGTTATCTACTTGCCACTGATGTTAGCCATGCCTGGGAATCGAACTCACATCAGGCGCTTTGTAGCACAGTGCATTAACCACACCACCACCGTTTTATGTTTTTCTTAATCATTATGAACGTAATGTTGTTCGACAATACAAATCACAGATAGAGGGATGAACACACAGGGATATAGTAAACCCAATATTGTCCAGATATCAGCAGAGGGATAAACATTGAAGGCTATATAATATGGCGTTTTGAAAGGTCAGTTGTACTTATGTATGTTGAACAACTTTCACACCATTTCACTTAAACAGCTTTAATCGAGTATCACAAGTAATTAAAAGCAAATGTCATACAATTTTGAACTTGCGTACTGCCATCGCATCGACAAGCTCCGTGACCTTTGTAGAATTGACATTTTATTAAAATCTAGGATATCAATGGCCCTAACTTCATAAACCGGAAAATGAGGTAAATAATATACACCCTCAGATAATTACAAGTTTATTTTTTCTAATTTAAATGCTCTTTTTTTCATGCGAACTATATTTTTTCATTACTCTCATAAATAACAAAAAAATATATAAATGCCATTTAACTCATCCTCCATATGTTATCGTTATTAAAGATATCAATTGCGTGACACAACCCCGAGGTTTGAAAAGTAATACATATCTTAATATACTGTATATATGGTAGAGTATCTTAACAAACCTTACTGTTGAATTTAACGACGACTGCAATGCAATATACTGTACATGTAAGATTTATTAACAGTTACTCATAAAATATATATAATATATGTTCTATCTATGTAAGTATGTGACCACATCACACTGGAATGTAGCCAATCTCATCAGATCTCAGAGGCTAAGTAGGCTTTGAGCCTGGATAACGCTTGGATGGGCGACCACCATGCATAAAACAGGTGCTGTAGGCTGCTGTTGTGGGGCTACGTGTGCACAGAGGAAAGTGCAGCAAGATCCATTGTTGTACTTGCTATGCTCTCAAATCTATGCTCCTCATCTTCACTAACCCTCACTATATCAGTGTGGTGAAGGATGGCCAAATAAACGTTCACAACCTACAGAGGCCCGGCAGACACCACACACATTAAAGCATTTGTGTTACGCGAGCAGTTTTCAATTGAGCAAAATAAATAAATATATGTGCTTCGCACAAGTATTTGTTATACATGGAAGCTGAAAAACTCGACACAGAAATGGCCACTAATAACAGTACTGGTCTGGCAGCCAGTTGTGTAGAGATGGCACTGCCATTCTGCAGTTGGGAACGCATTCTTGTTTTAAAACACAGTTAACCACAAATCTATTGTGTTGTACAATATTTCAATTGTGACGTACATTGACATTTCATGGAATGTTACTTGTGAAAAGTGATATATAAAATAAAAGGATTGGAGGATTAGTATCACCTTTTAAATTCACGTATACTGTTTTTCAAATTATGTTATTAAACACTGATGTCTTTATTGTTCCAATTTGTTTTTTAATAGAAAATAATTACTTAAAGAATCTCTCAAAATTATTTATCTAGGCAGACATGTCAAGTTCGCCATTAGATGTAATGTAGGAACCCATTCGTGGACATTTCAAAAGTACTGCATGACATCAGCTCATGGGGTTGATTTGCAGCATTCTCATTTATGTGAAATATATCCAATCAAGATGCCTTGTGGAGATAAATGTTGTGCTAAATCTTTGGCACAAATATGTATTCAAAGAGCATTGCAAGAAAATTTTCATAAAATATACAAAAAATAACTTAAAAGCCTACTCTACTCAATCTAATGGCAATTTACATATCACAAACAGTTATACATCTATGAAAGTGATTTAGAACCTTACGACGATCTCTAAAAATGTTTGCCAATATATTTTTTGCGTACTTTGAATATTAATTTTAAACAAAACTGTAAGAATAGTTAATGTTGACTAAAATCGATGGTAAATGTATACATATTTCACATGCATTCTCGTAAGCCAATGAGCCAAAAAAATTCACATTTTACGTGAGAAGTCAAAATGCAGTATGGAAGTCACGTAAGTATCAGACATTCTTAGGTCCATTAACCATTTGTTCTTGAACTGTCTGCTGAATATGTTACGTAGAACAGCACTCATGCCCACTCAATCTTCTGTCGGCACCACTACTACTTACAAAAGAACTCTTGTAGCATTTTTGGATGCTCTTCAGATTTCTCCTTCACCAGCTAATCAAGTAATTATGTTCCTGGCAGTGAAAAAAAAATGTACCCCATAATTCAAAAACCTGATGCCACAGTGCCAACAAGCAAAGTTGGACCTTTAATGACTTTTACCAGGCCATTAAAACAGGGCTTTATGCACTCTGTCAAATGAGAGGCCCCGCACGGTTGCATGCTATGATTAATACAAGTAACTATATTCTACAGAATTCGCCTTAAAAGGGGGTGGGTATATCCTTTGTTAGTTATACATACAGCAATTAAATACACCTCGTGTCACTGCACAAAACAGGTAGTCATTCTTTCTGGAATTGGGGAAAAAATTAGTGTTGTGAGATTGTATAATAATTATTGTGTATTTAAACTAATTGTGGGTTAATGCATCGAATTTTTTTGTATTTCCGGCAACACCAGAGTGTGAATATAATTCTTGCCAAAATGTTTGTCAAAATATTAGAAGCATCATTTTTCCTTTTCAAAATATTAACAATGTGACAGGCTACATTATGTGACCAATCATTCATTTAATTAGAAATGTTGCCAATATCTAGCATTAAGAAAAACGGATAGAAACTGACATTAATATCAGCAATGTTGCACTTCCAGCTATATGTGAATGTCCGTGATATTGATTTCACATTCCAATTATAAAATTTATAAATAAAAACTGTATATGGTAAGATACCATATACAGTTTTTGATGTAAGAGGTTGAGAAATGAAATGATCCAAAGTTTCAAAAGCATGAATCGACGTCGATGATTATAATAATAGGTAAAGTAAAATCTTAAAATTGCACATTTTTTACAGATATTTAATACATTAATAATATGCTTTAGTCATAAAGTAAAGCCTGATTGATTCCCAAAACTCTTTATGACATTGGGATGTTCATAAAACTCCTTCCATTCTTTATTTTGTATGTGGAAGAAAACTGGAGTATCCCGAGAAAACCCACCCATACATCATAAAACATGCAAGATTCATACAGATCAGGTCATCAAAAAACATTATTGTACATCATATACATACTTATCACAATCCTGCATGTTTGGAATCTTCCGAAAATAAAAAAATCTACATGATCCATCAACCCCCATTGACAAATAAAAAATAACAAGAAACACGTTTATGTTGTGAAACTTTAAAAACAATTTAGCCAACTCTTTTATTTTATTTTTCGATTTAAATCTTTCGTGACTGCAGGGATTCATCTTCTTGGTTCTTTCGGTAAAGTCACGTAGAATGGAAATAATAAAATAATAAAAATAAAACATAATAATTGACACATTTTTAAATGTTACAGTTTTGCAGCCCAAAATCTAAGACGTTCATGTTCTGTTCCGATTAATTGTTCCTTTTTCAAGAAAGGTCTAAATGTCAAAAGTACTGCCAGCAAAGAACAACGGCTCTTTCTGTCACTGCGTGCATCTCTGCGCGGTTGTGCGAGGAGGGAGTTGGTGTTACGAGGGGGTGGGGGAATCAAGCAAAGTTCTGCAGCCAGAGAGCTCCACGTCTGACCATAACTAATGCAGACGGCTATGCACTGCATTGCCCAGCCTCACATTTGAGAGCTGCTGGACAACTATAAAATGTGCAGAGCTAAAGGGAACAGTGACACTTTAGTGTGTCCAGAACCACTGTGCAATACAAAATGCCGCTGCAAGATGAGACCACGCTAGCCAATGCCCAGAGGCATTTACTCTTGATGTACCAGGACATCACGGGTTTAGTTGCCGGTTTTTAAGCAACAACATACACTTTTTAACATGTAGGCTTTCGCGATAAAAAGAAATTGAAGCAGACAAAACACCTTAAACACTGGAAAAATGCAAAGCCACACATGCTTTTAAAACAAGTTGTCTTCGTTACACACACTGTATGAAACTTCTCTTGTGATTTTCTGTGTGTAACGTGTTTTTCTTTCTTCTTGTGCATTTGCATCCCACCACCGAGGTGTGTTTCCTATGAAATAGTTCCTGTTGTTGCTCTTTAAAAAAAAAAAATCCGATTCAGCAACATGCTTAAGATTAATTCGGGGCCGTAGCGCACGCATTGTCTTTTATTCATTTTATCCTCAACAAATGCCGAATCGCCCGGAATGCACCCAGTCTTGTCAGATCTCTGAAGCTGAGCGAGGTTGAGCCCGTCATAACAGGTCGGGCAACGTGGTAAGCAATAGAGGGCATCGCAGACAAATCCGCCGTTGAACATAATTCTGTGCTCCCCGCATCAATTGCCCACAGCATTCAGCAACCCGGACTGGCGAGCGGAGTGAAGTATCGTCAAATACCCAGATCACCAGCATGGCGTGGAGAGGCCATTGTGAAGCAGTGTCACCATGAAGGGTTGTCCACCCCTCTCGCTACACGAGTGCAAATGGCAAAACCCGTTCCAATAAAATTCGAGACAAAAGAATGTCACGGTTTGTAAAAGACAACTCCGCAGTCTAACTCGGTGTTATTCTTGAAAGCTATTTATTTACCAAATTTTTTATTGCATTAACATTTCGAATTAAAGAAGTATATATTATCACGTGTCCACGCCCACACACAGACACGAGCGACATGACGCGCCGCTAGGAATGTTAGCACAGGTGCTGTATGTGGTCACGACTGGATGCCTTCGGCTTTAAGAGGCAGAAATTTCAACGTCTTTCTCAGGTCGACGTCAAATACCGCACCGAGGTAAACCCAGACGGATAAATGCACACTGCCAGCTTGCGCATGGCTTTCATGTACTGTAATATATTGCATATATATGAATTATATACTTTATCACGGCTGCTTAGCAGAGGCCCAAAGGTCAGCAATGGTCAGCACCAAACAGCACTTAAAACTGTCCAAAGTCGAACAGCGCGGTGGAAAGAAGGAGAAAGAGAAGTGTTGTTCCCTCCAGCATGGCAGGTGAGCGCAGCAGCGTGGATGACATGAACCGTCAATCTGATAGATACAATCCTCAACATTTGAAGAGGAATCGTTAATGGGTTAAGTTCATAGGAACAGTCACCATTGCAGTAGCAATCGAAGAGCAATAAGAAAGTGACGGAGCCGATTGGTTTTGTATCATCAACCAACATAAACTGCTTTACTCTGAATTCAACCAAATAAAGCGAGAAAACAACTGGTGCTCGAGCCTAGACATGACAATCGTTTTCCAGCTGAGGTCGAATCTGTGCTCTGTATAAGTTATGCTCTGACGCCTGTATATTTGAAGTTAGCAAGTTCTCCCCGTGGTCGCGTGAGTTTTTTGTCCAGGTCCTCGGTTTTTTTTTCCCTCCACGTTTATAAACATGCATTGATACCATTTAGATCACTTTGCTGCTATAAATGTCCAAATGATAAACCACTTGTTGAGTTATCATTTGTGGCCAGGTCACTTCTGAAAAATAAGGTAATACCTCCGTGGGCTTTGCCTGGTATGATGTGGATGGTTTAGTTATGTTTGTATGTGTTTGGGTGTTTTGTTTACCTTTTTTGTACTTTGCACGACCATAATGTGTTTTAATTGTCTGTTGTTGTAACGTTCGCACCCCCCCCCCCCCCTTGGACATGTGTGAAAAATAACTTTCTAGCTAATCGGATTCCTCCAGTAAATAAATAAATATTCTTATTCCTATTCTGAGCAACTGTTGTTTGGAATGTATCTCACACATTATGTATATATTTATTATGTGCCAAGCCTTCTTTTGAGTGTAATATCGAAAATATATGTTCGTGTATTGCATAACAAAACCATTTCATTTAAATAATTCCCTTTAATGTAATTTAGGAATGAAATATAGCAAAAGGTTCAAAGGAAATACATTCGTCCTAAATAAATGAGGATTTGTAAAATTGCAATTCATGTTTTTGTAAAACATTTGTTCCACAAAAACAAACACCAATTTTTTTGTTTACATTCGTGATCTTTTGCAAGAAATTACAAATAAGCAAGACGATGACATTCGTGAAATACTGTTATATGATTCTGGCTGTCATTTTGTATGCTTTCCCATTGGACACGAGATTAAAATAAAATAAACCGTAGAGAATGTTTGGTTGGTTGTCACATTCAGAATGGTCCCCGTCTGGCCCTGGTCACCACTGGTCTGAGAGAATGACAACCCGCGCTCCGTGTGTGTGGTTAACTGCCTCTCTCTGGGGCCTGCCTTGTGGTGCTCACCGCCGAGACAGAGAACAAACAACATGTGCCCCAGCGTGGCAAGTGCGAGCAGGCCCGCACGTGACCAGCCGCAGCTTCCAGACTCAGACGTCCAGTCTTTCTTGTTGACATGTTATAATAATAACCACAGCCCATCTGTCTGCACGTACTGGCTCAGTGGAATAAGCATCTCATGTACCCGTATTGCAGTTTGAACACCACTGCTTGATATATGTGTTCCAGTGATTCAGTAGCAATCCTATTATATTCAGCAAAGTCTCACTGGGTCTCAAGACTCTTTTTTTCAGGAGGCTCATCCCCACGGGATGTTAGGCCTATTTCAATAAGGTAATGGTTTTTTGGAATGCAGAAGAAAACCAAAGTTACTGGGGATAATTCATGAATACATTGGTATAGTGTTCAAAGCTCCTCATAGATTCCAGAATCCATTTGGCCAAATGTGCTTCAAGAAGTTATATTTGTATTTTGGAACAAACCTGCGTAAACCCGGATAAAGCCCACCTATATGAGGGGATAACACTCCAAGATCCGCATAGATGGGATTTATAACCCACTTTCTGTTCTGCAATCTGCTAACAATCTAGTAACCTATGCATTTGGGATTTTCACAAATATGCATGATCCAGGAACCCTTTTCTTCCAAATACTGCAGCACTGCTGTATTCCACTATGCCTGGCTGATGTTATGACGTTAGTGTCATTTATTTTAGGTGTGTTTCCAACATATTTGGAGGAGGGGGTGGTCAAATAGCATTGAGAATGAATTGAAATAACAAGTTGCACTGACATAAATTTGATGCCCTTTTAATTTAATCTTTAAAATGTACACTTAACAAAAATTAGGTCATTGTATTCCAATTGCGCTGTCGGAATCATGTCACAGCACGAAGTGTCCATTTGTAACTATTGCAGAGCACTCCAATACCCCTAGTGTTTGGGAATGACGTGTTGAAGGTGCTATCAGATAACTACTTCTTTTCCACACATGTCTGATGCACGGAAGTAGAACTGATATTTTTAATTATCAGAGCTAGTAATTCTATCAAATTAAGTGCAAAACCGATGTTAATGTGAATGGTTTTTTTTTTTCGCAGTCAGTGGTGACTGGAGTGCTAATATATGCGAGCGGTTTGAACCCTGTTTGACCTTAGTTCGATTCCCGGCCACCACGAACATCAGTGGCACGTGCTGTGTGAACTGTTTCGTGACCTCCCACTTCACCATCCCACACTGACCAGGAATAGTGAAGTATGGTCATATAATCCCGACGAACAATATGGCATGGGGAGACCTTTATCCAGCAGTACAAAATTAATATAATTAGAAACAATGACAAAGGACTGAACATATATATTTTAAATATAAGTATTAAACAAATTACTTGGATTGTTTCAGTCTGCTTTGCAAAACTATTTGACTAGTCCACACATACACATAACTCTTGATGATCATGTCATGAATACATTCGAGTATAGCCACCAATGAAACAATAAGACAACCATCTATTTGTGAATTATTTTACTATTTAACAGCGTATCTAATATAACAGCGTTTCAGTGTAACAAATAATTGCATACATAGCCCTTTTGTGCATTTGCTCGACCAAGTAAAAACAAATCACAATAAATTAATTCATATAACCATTATATAACAAAGATGTTGTCAACATTGTTGATGAATGAATTTTTGACTGCTAACCCACATCTCTGTAGAGTGTAGAGTAATCTTAACAAAACACATTACAGCACTACTTGTGCTGGCAAGGGAATGGCATTTTTCATAAATGATCAGAGTTAATATTCGTAACCCATAGAGTTATTTATTGCCAGGTCACATTATAAAGAAAATCCACATCTAATATTCATCTTCTTGGTTCTTTCGGTAAAGTCACGTAGAAGGGAAGTAATAAAATAATAAAAATAAAACATAATAAAATAATTCTCACGACGTTTCGGCCACAACGCAAGCAGCCGTCCTCAGGTGAAGACCAGGTCTGTCGGGGAGACGCTTCTACGTGACTTTACCGAAAGAACCAAGAAGATGAATCCCTGCAGTCACGAAAGCTTTAAATCGAAATCTAATATTCAGTTTATATGTTGAAAAGTTCAATGTATATTTGTCCAAATGTATTATATGGTTAGCAACTGTGACAACATCGCGGTGGGGGGGGGGGGGGTATGGTATTCATAAACGGTCAATGTAACCATATGGATCCACAGGGGAAAATATAACGACTAGTGTAACCTGGACATATTTTTGACGTGAGTTTTATTGTTTGGCCATGGAATTCAGGAGCCGAAGCTGTTTAAAACAACACAAACAGTGCTAATGCTGAGCAATGCTTTCTCACAAGTAGTCATTAGAGCACATGGGAAAAATAAACAAATGTCCTAGGCCCACTGAGTGTCCTTCCTCCTCCTCCTCCCCCTCTTGCTCGCTAAAGTCTGTGGCCCGATATAGCAAGGTCCATGTGCTGACCTCTTTATCAGACTTAGCAGCATCGCTGCACATGCTTTCACTCTGCCGTGTAAACAAGGTCTGGGCACGGCTTAGGAAAAAAGGCGGAAATGGCATCTCGCACTCAATCGCCTTGGGGCGCGGGGGTTTAGTAGGGGCGGGGGGGGGGTGGTGGGGGGCGGGGGTGGTGGGGGGTGGTGGGGGGGCGGGGGGTAGGGTCGCATGCGGAGGACACGCAGCTGGTGGGGTAATGTCATTTCAACGTTCGGTTTCTTCCTTTGCGATTCCTCAGATGGGGCATGTGAATGTCGCCCCTGCAGTCATCTGCGATGTCCAACGACTGCCACTAATGTAGATATCGGATGACAAACAACATAGCGAGCCTCTGACTGAAAGTAATACCGTCCAATGGGAGCAATTTGGCACAATGGGCACGTCTTATTCCATTGGCTGCAAAAAGTGAAAATAATTATGTTTTAATTGTAAGCGTGTTCGGCTTAATGAGCGCTCAGTGACAACCGTTGATTCAAAATATATATAATAGGCGGAAACATGATGTAGACCTGAAATATAGTGACATAAAGGAAATGCAAAATTTCAACATGTCAAGTGCATTGCAGTGTCAAATAATATTATTTTAAGTCCCCTACAAATACCTAGAATAAGATGCAATTAAAACGGTTCTTGAAATATTAAATG